CAACAAGAGGGAGATTATCAAGAGGCAAGAGATCGGAGTAGAAGACGAAGATTACGAAGCCGGAAAATCGACTAAGCATTCTTCCTTTCTTCTATTTTACGATGTTTTGTGTTATTGATATGAACCCTGATATCTTGATGTTTAACGAGTAGTCCCATAGCTGTGGTTAGGGATTTGCTATGTAAGGATCTTTGGTTTTTATTTCCAAACTTTGTGGATCTATTTATTCCATTCAGTTTATTGAATTGTTCTTCATGCTTTTGATCTCGTTGGCCACTTGGTTGAATGAACTTAGGGTTTTAATTCACATAGACATATGGGATTCTAACCTGGAACTAATTCAATAAATAGAACAGGTATCACATCGGGAGATGGGTATATGCCTAGGAATTATGATAGCATTCATTCATGCATCCAGAGTTTTAGACTATTGAATCGAAAGATTAGTAGGATTAAACCTGGATAGTGAGATTAGACTTGGGAGAGTTAATCTCTACCTTAGATCTTGAATTCCCTGAATTGGATAGATAAACCACAGAGTTTGCATCTTTTGAAAGATCCTTGCATGTAAAACAATCTCGAAGCCTGCAGTGTTCTTCGTTCATAGTCTTTAGAACCGTTTTATCGTTTGCTTTGTTACCTTCTCACACTCACATTATTTTCTCTGGATTTAGACTTAGATTTAGATTTGATTTAGTTGTCTACTTGTCCCTGTGTTCGATCCTAGCGACTACAATCGATCCGTACACTTGCGGTATTTGTTGAGTGTAGGATATTATTACTTGATCGAATTTATACACCTAGATTTACGACATCAAGGTGCAAGAACAAGAGAAAGAACTGGTCTACATTCCGCCTCCCTCTAAGGTACCCTCGATACCCTTTCCTTCTCATTTAAAGAAATTTAATGAGGACAGCCAATTTGGAAAGTTTGCGGAAATGCTGAAGAAGATGGAGATTACAATGCCTTTCCATGAGGCAATTCTTCAAATGCCCTCATATGCGAAGTTCCTCAAAGATATTTTGACGAAGAAGCGGGTAGTTGAAAAGGAGACCGTAGCATTGAGCACCGAGATTAGTGCAGCCATCACAAAGCATGAACTAACCCCGAAGATGTCTGATCCGGGGAGTTTCTCTATTCCATGCAAGTTGGGGAATATTGAGATTAATAGAGCATTATGCGATCTTGGGGCTAGTGTGAGTTTGATGCCACTGTCCATTTACAAGAAGTTGAACATAGGCGACTTGAAACCCACGAGGATGGTCTTACACCTAGCGGACTGATATATATATATATATATATATTTGTAAAAAAGTAAATGCTATATATATATGTATATTATGATGATTGGATGAGCATTGGTCAAATATTAAAATAGTTATATATGTATATATAATGATGATTGGATGAGCATTGGTCAAATATTAAAATTGTTCTACTTATCACATAATCCACACCACAATAACGACATTAGCAGTGACATCGCACATATTCCATCGTCACCGTAAATTATTGCTGACGTCATTTGCCAAATTCTTGACGGTCCTGATGTTTTTGAAGTGTAGACTGCGACTCACCAGATCACATGAAGATAGTCGAGACTCTCTCGGGCACGGTCAACAAATACAGACAAATATAGTAATTAATTAAACATGAAAGGGTACTTTTTGTAATATATAAAACTTTTTCCTCTCCGCTTTGACCAGAGCTTTTTTCTTCTTCTGATGAAAAATAATGGGTATGTTTACACTAGGGGTGTCAAAACGAGCCCGGCTCGTGAGCTGGCTCGTGGCTCGCCAGAAAACGAGCGATCTGAGCCGTAATTTTTTCA